AGGTTTTACAAAATACTATCATGATAATTTCTACTATCACCACTTGTATTAAATACTCTGAGATTTTTTAAAGTTGAGCATGTTATGAAAAAACCAGAAAAACATATCCTCATGTAATTCCAATTTAAGAGTAAAATTAGAATGGAAAGCAGGAAAAGAATATAGCAAGCTAATTTTTTCTTTTAGACACAAAGATGTAGTAAGAAAACTTTGTTTTTGTATAGGCAAAAAAATGCAGACATGCAGTAGCTTATACATAAATTAGATCAACCCGCCTAAATTTGCGATAGGGGAAACATGGAAGTGCAATTAGCAAAAGGTAAAACTAACATCTCAATATTTAAACTCAATCAAAACATGCATGTGTAGAGAGAATTTGAGCATTTTAATTGACAAAAAAAGTACATGAAAATGCAGTAGGCCTAATTCAGTGTGTTAAATCATTATAAAAATTGACAGTAATAGAATCAAAGCCTCACATTTTCTTCTTAGCAACAATGTGAACTAACAATGCATTACCTTAAGTATGAGGATGCATAAATTGTAAATATAATAATACATAGAGAAGCAGCAAAAAGACTGGTTCAATAATAGTAACAAATTCTTAAGGAAATGAATAGTTTTTGAACATTAGAACACATAAAGGAATAAACAAGAGATTGGTTTTATAAGTATACATATTAAGATGGGCAAGATTCCGTTATCACTGGCATCCAGTGTCAACAGATGACACTCGCTCATTTGGAGCTCCTCCAATGCTCTGTTTGCAAAATTGATGGTTCCTACCCCTCTAACCCCCTCCCTAAACCCACTACAGCACCAGCACCCCTGCGCCCCCACCCAAGACCCATCTTTTACCCCCTCCAAATGTGTGGTTATTATGCTTTGCATAATAGCCACACATTTGGAGGGGGTAAAAGGGGGGTCTTGGGTGGGGGCACATGGGTGGGGCTGGGGTGAGGTGCGGTGTGGGGTTTAGGGATGGGGTTATGAAGGGTAGGAACAATCAATTCCTTGTGTTTGATTCTTTAGGGCTGTTAGAGTATATAACAATCATTCCTGGGCCACAACCACAAGCTTGAGCTTTTGGTTGAGTTGGTTTCTTGACATTGTATCAGAGCCTTGATGACCAAGAGGTCACGAGTTCGAAACTCACCGCCACCCAGTTTAAAAAAATTAAGGTTTCACGTGCAAGGCTCAAAGAGGTCACACCTGAACGTGAGGGGGCGTGTTAGAGTATATAACAATCATTCCTGGGCCACAACCACAAGCTTGAGCTTTTGGTTGAGTTGGTTTCTTGACAAGGGCATTTTAACAACCACCTTGTCTTCGCCTTGATACCTTGAACGAAAACTGAGAAATCTTCCTCCTTTTCTACAATATCGGAGTAGCCTAAAAGCAACACAAAATGCTCCCTATCACAAATGTAAACCGGCGAAAAAGAAACACAAAAATTTGAGATTGCTAGGACAGTTTTCCAATCTCAAACTTAAGAGAAATTCTGCACCCCCTCAAAGAAAATCCATAAACCTTAAAATGGAACACGAGAAAATGATTTTGGGTGTCTTGTCGTTAGATGACGATTTGGCAAGCGCCTTATCGCCTTGCGGTTATTTTGCCGAGGTGTTTGGCATGGCATCCATGGGAGAGTGCCTTAACGCCTAGGCGACGCCTTATTCACTACTCTTTCCATCCCATAATCTTGTCCTACTTACTATTTTGGGCTCTCGATAACTTTACTTTGTTCACAGATTTTCATTGACCATTTGATAAAATGAAATATTCTTGTCATGTATTGTTTTTTTAACTTTTGGTGTTTTGCACTTTTTATTTCTATATCTATTTGTAAAAAAAAGCATTTTCAAAACGATGGGATTCGGCATATTGTTCAAATGTGCCAGAATTTTTGGGACGGGGGAAGTATGTTCATGATAATACTGACAGGTGTAATTGTTTTCCTTTCTTTGTCTTTTGGTTTTCCCTCTATTGCTTCTGCTGCCATGTAAGGTGGTGGTTCTCTCCCAACACGGTTTTGTTGACCTAGAGACATTACTTTGTGTCTTTATGCTTTGTTCATACATATGCTAGCATTATATTCTTTTTGCAGAATACTACATAACAATCAGCATATGTGACGTAAACAGAACTGGAGATGTTTATGGACCAACACATGGTTATTGTTGCAGTTCAGCATAATGATTATTGATTTGTTTTATTTTTAGTTGCTGCTTCTTGGAGATAAAGTTAAAGAAGCCCTTGCCATGGTTGATAAAATTTCTCCAGACTCTAGTACACCTCTCCATTTGAGGTAATAATACCAAATTTCCTTATTTTTATAAGCTAATGACTTTTCTTCATGATTGCTGTCACCTGTCGCCCTGTCGGTATTATGCAATAGCTGAGAGGAAAATGTAGTGTAGCTATATAGGTGTACTATGGTTGACAACATAAGGTTGAGAAGGTTACTAGAGGATTATAATTTTATTCATTTAGAACACTGGTTCAAAGCATAGTTACAGAATTCGCTTACCTAGCCGCGATTTCCGAATTGGTACGAATCGTACCGGATCGCAAGTCGCCGGCGAACCGATCGCCACCGGTACGGCGATCCAATTCGGTGTGGTACGGTGCTCCAATTCGCAATTCGCCGGCGATCCAGATGCCCTAGAACGTCGCACCAAGTCGGATAATACGGAGTACCAATCGCCGGCGGTCCAGCGATCCAAATCGCAATTTCGTCTCTCCCGCGACCTTCCCTCTTCCAAGCGATTGTTTTCTCCGTAAATTGAAAAGGTCAATTCGCGATTGCACTTCCCCAAGTTCCGTGCGAGTCGTTCATAGTCTCCGTGCCTTTCTCGATTGTTCTCTGACTTCTCCCTTTAATGTTTCGTTTTTTCCTAGGCAGTCTCCAAATATATATATATATATATATATATATATATATATATATATATATATATGTCTCTCAAGTCTAACCAGTAACCACAACCCAATCTAAAGTCCTCAATATCCAGTAATTTTTAGATGATGTCTTGTTTTTCAATTGGATTTTGTAATGTTAGGCACTTATGCTCATCTTATCTATTTTTGTTTACTTATGCTTTGACTTTTGGTACACCGAACCGAATACATGGTACACCGTACCACTTCGTACCACTTCGTACCGAAATGAACCTACCCCCCTTCGTACCGAATTCGTTACATCTAGCGAATTTCGTACCCGTACCGCGTACCCGTACCGAAGCGTACCGCGATTTATGTGACTATGGTTCAAAGTAAGGCGTGATTCTAGCTTCCTGTCCAGCTCCCAGATTTACACCTTTCATTGCTTGTCACCCTATCTGCGTATTGCCCTTTCTAATTCAGTATTTTAGTCTATTAGTTAACTTCTTAAGCACCTCTCTAATGTGATGCCTAACTTTTTAAGTGTGCATTCAGCATAATTTAAATCTAACCCAAAAGTTTCATGGAAATGTTATGGAGCTACTTCTGATATCAGCTGTGTCAAAATTTTAAAAGCTTTTTGAATGCACCTCAAGATGGGTGTTGTAATGTGGAAACTTCACATAACTAGATAAGCATAGGGTTGTACAGTGCAAATGCCATTTCCACCAGGGTCACAGCTTCACTTTATATCCTAAGTGTGTGTTGATGAATTTCTTGGGTATAGTCTTTGACTTATTTGTTAGGCATGAAAGTTAAGATCTCTTCAATTGTCTAAGGTTTCAAATAGTTAATCCCTCTACCCACTAAGTTTGGGACATGGGATGTTGGCACACAAATTAATAAAATGTGGAATTGCATGATTTACATTATAAATGTAAAATTGAATAAAATAAAGGACGGTGGGAGGGAGTATTACTCTTGTACTGACTCCATTTTTGACCACATAATGATGCAAATATGACAAACATAGATTGTACAAAAATAGTGGGACGGAGGGAGTATTACTCTTTACTGACTCCATTTTGACGAGATTGATAAGTTTGTGAAAGCTATGGAGAACGAGTTTGATATGAGTATGATTCGTGAACTCACTTTCTTTATTTGATTTTAAATCAAAATTTTCTTTCTCAAACCAAAAATGCTCAAAATTTGTTAAAGAAGTTTGATATGAATGACGGTAAGAGTGCTATAACACCCTGTCTTACACATGAGAAAATCAGGGGTATTATTCATAGCCTATTTATCTTATAAGGAGTAGCAAGCAGGCCAAATATATGCTACAGTGTGGGGGAGTGTGGTGGTGTGTGCCAGATGTGAAAGAAAACCAAAAGAGTCTCATTTGAAAGCTGTGAAGAGTATCATGAAATATATCAAAGGGACTCAAAACATAGATTTCTGGTACTCTAAAGGTGTGAAGCAGATTTTATGGCATGAAGTGATGCAGACAAGGCTGGAAATATTGATGATGAAAAAAGCACTTCTGGAGGTTGTCTCTTTCTTGGTGGAAATCTCGTTGCTTCGATGAGTAAGAAACAAAACTCAGCTTCTCTCTCTACAGAAGAGGCTGAATGCATAGCAGCGGGGAGCTGTTGTGCGCAACTATTATGGTCTTTATGGATGAAATCTTTGTTAGCAGGTTTTGGAGATAAGCATGATACTATTCCATTATTTTGGGAGAATACTAGTGCTATTAATATTTCTTAAAATCTAGTGTTGCACTCACAGACAAAGCACATTGATAATTCATGAATTAGCTGCGGGTGCACTGATTTATGGAGAAAGTTTTTTGAGGATGCGGATTGCCAGCTAAAGTGTCCAACCCTTTGTTTCCTGCTGGAAGTAGAAGAATTACCCTATGCTGACACTTGGAGTTGTTACAACACATTCCCATTTGCTTGTTTCACCTTTTGACAAGCGGTGTTTCACCTGAAATTTGAGGAGACCATTTTTCCATCTTCCACAAATCCTATCCACTTTTTTCCACCAAAGCTTCATATCCTTTATTCTCTCAAAAAATGTTTTACACCAGTGGAGTCGTGTACTATAGAGGAAGAGGCAGAACTATTGGGAAGAGACGCACCACCATTGCACCCCAATGTGTTCAATCACAGTCAAAGCCTCATATTATGGACCCTCTATCTGCTTAATCTGTTTTAGAATTGAAGAAATTTCTGAGGATGATGTCTTGGCTGTCTCATGGAGAAGCACACCAGAATTATTATATCTGGAGTACACAATTTCAATATTGTCAAAATCTTGCTAAAGAACAGGAGGAAGATATCATCTGTGATTTGCGTTCTATTCCCACTGAAGAAGAAATCATTCTTAAAACTCTAAATTCAGCAATGCATGAATTTGAGGCACCTTCAACTCAAGATCTAGAAAAGAATGATGTTGAAGTAAATCTTGAACATGACAGATAAGGACCTTCTGATGATCGAATTGATGCAACACCTTTTGAATAAGAGAAAGTGGTAGAGAAAATTGGTGTTACTTTTGTTGCAGTGTTGCTACAGAGGAAATCAAATCAGCTGCTGCTGAGGATGAAGTTGTCAAAGGGCTAGAAGCTCCTTCCTCAGTACAAGCGGAGAAGAAAAGAGATATAAAGAAGAGGTCCCTGCCTTACAAAAAAACTGTTTCTTTAAAGGAAATCCAAACAAAAGTTTCCTTTGAAAGACGCTTAAGCATCCTCTGCACCATCTCAGCAGAAGTCCAAGAAATGCTCTAGTGCTGCAACCACCACTTCACCAATTGTTAGGAAGAAGGCTCTAATTAAATCTGCCAACAGTTCAGGGAAGTCCTCTCGTACTTACTTCATATCCTCTAGTGCATCAGATTTTATGCCATTTGTTTCAAAGAAAAACATCCTTCCTCAAAGAAACATTGATATTAAAGATTTTGAGTCAAAGATGAACCTACTTGGTGTGATAAGAAGTATATGTTAGTACACGTGCGATCTATGATATGAAGCTTTCCTAAAGTTTAGTACACTGCTGATCTAGAATAGGGTTGCAAGCACGTGGAGAAGATCATGAAGAAGTGTAGCAAGCCATGAAAAGAGCTCAGACAGAGTTTGAGTCAGAAGCTTTAGAAGAGGCGTTCTATTGTAATTAACTAGTGTAATCTTTTCAAAAGTTTATTGGAGGGCTTTTACACAGACGTGGGCTTAGGCCCGCGAAGTAGTAGGTTTTCTTTGAACTGCGTAAATAATTCTCTGTGCACTGCTTACCGCTTTTGTTTATATATGAGTGTGCATTAGTATGAAGATGTTGTAGCACTGTGTCATCTTTGTTCTGAACTACAGTATCATCATAATACATTGCTTGATTGATTCGTTCTGTTTGTGTGAATTATTTTTATTCGGTACCCTTGCTGCACTCTCGGTATTTCATACACTAGCTTAACCATTGTCTTACATATACAAGTACAAGAGTAGTGTTTGAATTTAACATTTTCATCACATTTCGTTCTTTACAATGCCACTTCAAACTTGAGGGCAGTGGGAAGTAAAAATGTTGTAGGTGGAGTATTAGAGTTGGTTGACATTGATAGGTTAAGGATTTGGTTGGTATTCTTGTTGTCAATTCATCAAAATAATCCACAATTAGTAGCTTTTAATGTATTTGGATGAAAGATGTTACCAAACAGGGTTCCTTTTAGAAAGTTCCGAAATGCAGCCATATTTGCAAAGTAATACTCCCTCCGTTTCAATAAACCCTTCCCCTTTTGACTTTTAGCCAAAATAAGGAAAGTATTTTTATGGTTGACTTTTCAATTTTTCCCTTGATGTGATGGGTAAAAGTAAGATACGATAGTTAGACTATTAGTGAAAAAGTATGATGTGATAGGTAGGGTATGAAAAAGTAGGGGTAAAAGTGGTTTTTTAATAGAAATCGGAAGTGTTTTGGGGAAATGAAAAAAATGAAAGAGGAAGGGTTTATTGAAACGGAGGAAGTATAATCTAATGCACTCTAAAAATCCCATTATGTCAAATCTGCTTCTTACGTTCAATCCAAGCCAGACAGGAACACACTGACATCTCATGGTGGTAAAGATCCCTGCCCCATTTACATTGTAGATTTTAATTTTCTGGTACAATAAACATTGTCAGCTTCATGAGTATTTTAAGCATATGTGTACTTTTTTGTTGTCAAGTTATTAGTTTTTTTTTGGTGCAGACTGAAGGCTCAACTATTGGAACATTTTGATAGAAACAACTACGCCAAACTTGCTACATGCTTTGAGGACATATTGCAAAAAGATCCCACCTGTGAGTATTCATTGGGAAGGCTCGTTTGCTTGTATCAAAAAGGTAAACCCTCAATTCAAAACTATGCACCCCTTTTGCCCATGTGCTCTTACGCATGATCTGCACAATTTTTCCATTATTTTTTTGTAATGTACTGTTTTCTGAGACAACGTGATGCATGCAAGAGATAATGCATTGGAGTGATTTCCATTTTTTTATCTCTTTCAATTCTCCAAGATTAATTTGGAATTGAGTATTGCACTTTCACTTCAGGGGACTATAGCACTGAAAAATTGGTGGAAAAGATAGCCTCAAACTTAGATGCTACTTGTGCTAAGTGCAACATATGGAGGGAGTTTGCGTCTCTCTTGCTGAAGCTTTCTCAAATTGAAGGAGACTGTGTATCTGTCTGCGCTGATGATGATGATGATGATGGACCGAAGCAACAACCATCTGAGTTCGTTAGTAGTCGTGTCCCAGAAATTTTCATTGCACCTGGATCAGGAGAATCATGGAGGCTTCGTTGCAGATGGTGGCTTACACGTCACTTCAGCAAGAGCATACTTGTGTCTGATATTGCTTCAGGTATCATTCTATGTTCTGACTGACATTTTTGGCTTATTAAGGCGCAAATCCTACCATTTCTCTAGCAGTCATATTGGCACACAAACTGTGATTTCCCTCTAAACTCATTTTCCTGTGTTTGGTATACAGAGGGAATTTTCTTCCTACTTGGAAGGAAGATGCTCTCCAAAACTCTTTCGTAGGCATGTAACGTTGAATTTTCGGTGATTATAGACACTTGAGATTATTTTATTTATTTTACTCCGTGTTTGTCTTTTTTGTGCAAAAAAACCATTTGACACTAGAAAATGCTATGGAAAATTTGGTTTTCTTTGGGAAAAGCCTTTTTCATAAAATTTCTTGTGTACCAAACCAAACAGTGTTGCTTTAAAGTTTCCCATTCGCAATATATATGCTATGAAATGTAGCAAGGTTAACTCTGAGTTCCAGACACTTCAGATTACCATTTGATTTTGAGTACTTTTTTTTAATCTGTACCAGGCGACCTGGAGCTCCTCACTTACAAGGCAGCAGCCTCGTGTCATCTTTATGGGCGAGAGTTTGGATATGTGGTACAGGTTAGTGAGTTCTTGAAGAATACAAATAATACGGACATGTTGTTTATACTAAATAGGCATGTCCACAACTCTGCCGGGTTTTATTTGAATTTAGACAGGAAGATGCTATAAAATCTTGTTTCAGCCACAGGCGTCCTTATTTATTCAGCATTTAGCAAACGGTGTCTCATCATATTAGGTCAGGAAAGAAATTCATGTAAATTTCAAGTTTGCCTGCTTAACCAAGAAACTTATTTTCCACTTTACTTATAATGCAAATTGGTAATGAGCATTTTGACGAGAAATATGTTCGTTTTTTTTTGCAATAGCATCTTGGAGAAAAAAATGTTTTTTAACGGGTAATATGCTCCTTTAGATGTTTACTAATCCGGCGTTTTAAAAGATTGATGTAAAAAAGAATAACTACATTGACTGGAGAACAAGTTTATATTGAAACATTCATGTGATGTGCATAAGCTCAACCAATTCTTTTACATGCCAGGTCAACATTGAAAATCAAATTTTCATTCATCCTTGTCAGTTTTTGGTGTGTAATATATCAAACGTTGGTCTCGCCCAGGATGACCAATTAAATTCATACTTAGTGCCAGAAAATTTCAACAGTTAGTAGACATATTCTGTCTAAAAAGGAGATATCATTTGGGATGGTAAAATAAGTATTTAGAGGTTGAACTCATAACTGTGTATTAGAGGTAGGGGTATTAGAGGTTGAACTCATAACTGTGTTGCCCAACAAGGGTATAAGGACATGTTACAAAAATGAAGTCTTGCCAGCAATAAAGTAAAAGTGGCCAAATGCAGGTGCTAAGAATGTTATCATCATTCAACGACACTATATTCCTCTGTAGTTCACCACGTATGAGATTTGACGAAGGTCATCTTTGCCGTTATAATATACGTATTACACACTCGTACATATAATATGCGTATTATTCTTCTAAATATGAATTTCTCATGTAACAACTGTAATACAAGTATTTTTTATTCTAAATATATTTACAAATTTTATACGTATTAAATCATAAAAATTCTTTTCCACTGACTCCAACAATCAAAATATGGAAGGTCAAATTTTGGATCAGTCAATTACTTGATTGCCTTCCTCCCAAAAATACAAAACTAAAATTTTACTTTGGCAATTGTAAACGTATTAGAAGCCAGATTGTTTGAGTCATCCACCAATATCCTTTTTTAGTTAAATAATACACACGGTTTACGAGTCTCTTCGATTTTATTTAGCTTAGAGTCCAACACTCCAATCGCTCTAGTGATTAGTAGACAAAAATTATTTGTTTAGATTTTTAAAATGTAATTAGTTTGTTATATATAGTTCTTGAGGTTAGATATCTAACTTCGTAACTATATTTTTTTATTTTAAAAATAAAAAATATAAAGTTATATAATGAAATAGAATATTATTATCCCCGTCCCAGTGTATTTGTCCAGTTTGATTTTTTCGAGTCAAATTGGATAAATTTTGAACTCTAATTACACTCAATTTATATTGCATATTAGCATAATGAAATACAATTTTGAAAGTTTTCAACACGATAAATCCAATAAAGTCATTTTTATGTTAAAATACATTACAGTTTTTATTTAATTGAAGCTCAAAGTTTGGCTAGTTTGATTCGAAAAAATCAAACTGGACAAATACACTGGGACGGAGGGAGTATTAATTAATTCCTCTCCTAATCCCTCTATTTTCTTATTGTATTGTTACTAAATTTTCTTTTCCTACTTTGATTGGAACTTTCTCATGTAATCTCAATAAATACGGATGTAGCCTTCAATATTCAATAAGATCAGTTATTCTCAAATTGTATCATTGTTTGGAGCAAAGATCTCCAAATCCCTAACTGTTTTTGGTAGTTTTGTCGATCAACTTCCTTTGGTCGGTCCACCGTCGTACCCATGTCAACAACAAACCCATTATCTTTGCTTTCATCATGAGTAAAATTTTCTCTGAAATCTTCACAATCTCATCCCTAAAAAACTCACGGATACAAACTACCTTACATGATTGCTAAATGTTCAAATCACGCTTGAAGTGAATCTTCTTCTTGGTTGGATGGATGAATCTACAAGAATTCCATTTAAAACTATCCTTAAAGATGGAGCTGTTACCTTGAATCCTGATTTCACCTCCTGGACAGTCATTGATACTCATATCCGGGCCTGTCTTCTCCCCGGCAGTAGTCATACCATCCATAAACATGCTTGTGTCTTCACTACTTTTATTGCCCAATGGAAAGCATTAGCAAAAAGGTATAACTCTGTTTCGATAGCCCATATTTATCAACTTTGCGATAATCTACATACTATGCGCCGAGGTGCTAAATCCATATCTCAATACCTTGATAAAGTCGTAACAATTCTTGATGATCTTGATGCTTTACGTGTGCATATTCTTGAACGAGATGTCGTCAATGTTGTTATTCACGGTCTTTCTACAAAATATTCTTCATTCAAACAAAATATTCATCTCTGATAGCGACATCACTCTCAATCAGTTTTCTGGATGTCTTACTTAAGAGAGAATTTACATTGAGATGGAGTAAAAACTAAATTTAGCTTCCTCTCAAGGGCCGCATAATGCCCTTCTTGCTACAAACGATCAAGGAGGCTATCGCGGTCAACCATCCTTTGGATGCAACTACAACTGTTCTCGCGGTGGTAGAAACAACGGTCGATCACCCTCCGTAAACAGCCGACCGTCACGGGATGTCCCTGCGTGTTAGATTTGTGATAAGCACGAACATCTGGTCACATCATGCTGGTATCGTTTCGATGACTCTTATACCGCAAGCTCTTCTACTAATGGACCTCGTGCGATGCATGCATCTACAAGCAATCGATCTAGAGATTTGTATCTGGACACCGGTGCCAACACTCATTTTACGTCTGATTATTCACAACTTCAATCTCCTCATCCATATACTAGTACTGATACTATTACTGTACGTTATGGTCAATCTTTGCCCATCACACACACTGGCCCAGGCTTTGTCCACACATCCAATGGTAAATAGCATCTCCCCTCCCTTCATTATGTCCCCTCTCTTACATCCAATTTCTTATCTGTCCATCATTTTACCAAAGGTAACAATTACGCCCTTGTTTTTAACGCTAATGATTTTTAGATGGTGGACAACACTACCAACCAAGTGCGGTACAAGGGCCTCTGTGAGCATCGACTATATACCCTCCCTTCAAATTTTTCATCCACTTTGTGTCAAGCTATCCAAGCATCTACCTGGCATCGTAGACTAGGTCATCCGGCTCCTGCGATCACCAAATCTATTTTGTCCTCCTTAGGTTTTCAATTTTCAGAATCGTTGCATTGTGGATCATGGTTTGTCTCTAAGTCATTTCGTTTACCTTTTGAGTTCTGTGATTACAAGGCCATGGCGTCATTTCATTTAATACATTCTGATGTTTAGGGTCCAACCTCTATAACTTCTCTTGGCGGTTTTTGTTATTATATTTCTTTTATTGATGATTTTAGCAAATTCACATAGATTTATCCTTTAAAATAAAATTTTGATGCCTACTTTATTTTTGTTAGTTTGAGAACATGATTAAAAATCAATTCAACTCTAACATTAAAATTTTTCGAAGTGACGATGGAAAAGAATTTGTTAGTACTACTTTTGGACTTTTTCTTCAAAACATAGGAATTCTTCATCACACCTCTTTCCCTCATACTCCTCAGCAGAGTGGATTCACAGAGCAAAACTAGCCTCATCTTATCGAAATGGTTGTTTCTCTTCTTTGCGACTCTAATCCTCCAACCACCTTCTGAGTAGAGGTACTTGCCACCGCCAATTATCTTATCAATTGTATGCCTACAAAGAATCTTTCTAACAAATCTCCTTTTGAGGTTGTCTACCATCACCCCCTACATATACGAACCCACCTTCACCCTTTTCGATGTCTTGTCTATCCATGGCTTAAGCCTCACACCCAGCACAAACTTCAGTCCCATTTTACTCTGTGTGTCTTCCTTGGGTAGCATCCCACCATCAAATGGTATAAATGTTATGATCCTGTATCTCAAAAAAAATATGTCTCTTGTCATATTCGGTTTTTCAAGGATCAGTTTCCATATTCTAGGTTATCGTCTCTTTCGCTAACCTCCCATATCACACCTATTTTTCCACCACACCCAAGCTCACATGCTCAAGTATCGCACAACAACACTGTGCCACAAATGGCCAAGACAAACGACTGTCCCCAACCAACGGCCGATTGTCCCAACAACCCGTTCTAGACATGCTACAGGCGGTCGACCCCTTGAACCGTACCCTTAGCCACGATCGACCATTCATCCCCTCCTCCTCTGGACCTCTACCGACAGTCCACTCACTAAACCGTCCCCTAATCCAAAACCCAAATACCACCACTAACACTCATCCCATGAATACCTGTACCAAATCTAGAATTTTCAAGTCTAAGACCTATATCATCACCACCCTTGATAATACCCCCTACCACCGAGCCTAGGACATACCACCAAGCCTCAAGGAATAGTTTTTGGTGTAAGGTTATGAATGAGGAATTTATTGTTTAGAATGAACAACGTACATGGGATGGTACTACCACCTAAAAACTACACTCCGATTGGTTGCAAGTGGGTGTATCATATTAAATGAAACACTGATGGATCAGTTTCAAGGTATAAGGCTTATTTTGTAGCCAAAGGTTATCATCAGGAGTATGATATCGTTTGTAAGAAGACTTTTAGTCATGTTGTTAAACAACAAACAGTATGCCTTGTTTTCTCCTTCACTCTTAATCGTGATGGGCCTCTTCATCAGTTGGATGTCAGTAATGCCTTTCTTCATGACACTATGGACAAAGATATCTATATGGAGCAACCACTGGGATACATTAATCCCCAACGTTCGCACTATGTTTGCAAGCTTTGGAAGTCCTTGTATGGTCTCAAATGCCTATTATCTTTTTTTGCAGGGCTTTGGTTTTCTATGATGTGTTCATGACACTAGTTTATTCACTCGTCATTGTGCTTGAGGTATGGTCATCATACTAGTCTATGTTGATGATATTATCATTACAGGGAGCTCGTCTGCCCTCATCTCTAAAGTTACTCAGGCCATGCATGACTTTCGGATGAAAGAACTTGGTCCTTTACATTACTTCCTTGGCATTGAAGTCAAGCACACCAAGATTTCCATGCTACTCCATTAGACCAAATATGCACGTGATCTTTTGCGCCGGGC